GAAGGCTTATAATGCTCCTCCTGCACAAATCCCAAGAGCTGAACAGCTGTTCACAGGGTTCCCGGATGTTATGGATGGACGATTTTCACTGGAGTGGAGGGTGCTGGGTTTCTGAATTCTGACTCTGGTCAGTCCCTGTGTCCTACCACATCGCTGCCATCAGCATGTCCCCTGTGCCTTTCCTTCCTCACTTTTCTCCAGCCGTGAAGCTGTTATTCATTCTTTGAAGGTATGTGTATTCATTCTTTGAAGGACAGTGGGTGGGTAGCAAAAGGAAAGGAAATATGCCGGAGGACACTGGTTCTGCCTGATTTCCTATTTTTTCATATATTTTCATTTTATGCCTTGACATTGACTTCTGAAACTCAAAAGCCAAGAATTTGACTTTTTCTGGTGTTGTTATGATAACTCTCCTTTTGACAACTCTTCCAGCTGTCCAAATTGATGGAAAGAGGATGGGTACAGTGTAGCAAGAATACAGTGAGGGCAGGGGAATGACGGTGGAAGGGAAATTAGATTAATTAATATATAAAAATATTATCCTGCCATTCATTTAATGATGATGTATTTACTTTTTATTATATTTTAAGTTCTGGGATACATGTGCAGAACCTGCAAGTTTGTTACATAGGTTTACATGTGCCATGGTGGTTTGCTGCACCCATCCGCCCATCATCTACATTAGGTATTTCTCCCAATGCAATTTGACCCAGCAATCCTGCTACTGGGTATATACCCAAAGGATGATTTATTTTAATGATCTCCTTATTTTGACATCTGTGGAATGTATAGTCTTCTTATACACACACACACACACACACACACACACACACACACACACACACTTCTCTGGTAATAACATTCTCAAATGCAAGTCAGCAAATGTGTCCTCTGAATGGAATAACCAGTGAAAGGGTGTGGATGTGGATGGCTTTTGGTAAAGTCAGACAATTCCTCAGGCTGAGCGAGGGAAACAAAGCTCTAAGTAGCAATGTGCTGCACGCAATATTCCTGAAATTCAGCCTCCAATGGCTCTTTGCTCCAGAGAACAAATTCCATCTCAGCCACAGGAGGGCCCCTGCTCCCTTGAACTGCTTGACTCAGACTGGGAATTCAGAGATAAAATGAGTAGATTCAGGAGCAGAATAACAATAAATGTGGGTGGGTTTTTTTTTCTTTTTTTGTATGGGAGAGAATGGAACATTTGGCTATCATCCAACATTTCCTCAAATTGGTGATGTCTGTGGGTGGCATTTTCAAAGTATTGTTTTGACTATACTTTGGACAAAAGTCCCTGGTCCCTGGCCTTGGCTGATCAATGCATATGCAAGAAAATGCTCCAAACAGCTCCCTGCCCCCACCCTAATTCACATCTCCACTGTACTAGGGAGTCAAAAGCATGTTTTGACACTGGCACAAGCGTGCTCTGCTTTAATGTGGCCAAGGGTGCCATGGCCTTCCCAGGGGCGTGCCTGTGCAGGCTGTGCCTGTCACCATGAACAAAGGGCAGGGGCTCCTCCAGCGCCACTGGCTTGGGGCACAGAGCTCAGGCCTCTGCCACCGTGGCTCCTTACAGGCATGATTGTCACCCGACACAGGGCCAGCTTCCTATAACCGTTTAGTACAGAGCAGCTGACCAAACTGTGAGCTCACTGTGGCTGCAAAGCCACTTAAAATATTAACTGTGATGATAAAAATGAATAATTCTTGCACCTCCGGGGCATAGATGAGCGTAGTTCTCTCTCCCACCAGCCCTAAAACTCAGCTGTTCAGCTGGCTAAGGTCTGGGTTTCATGGTCCTGTAAATATACAATTAGGACAATAACTCTTCAGGTTCCAAAGCTTTTGTTCCATCCATTTCTGCTATAAATTGTGATTACTCTCTGTAGAGAGGGGGAATTGAGTTATTTTGGGCTAAGTTAGGAGCAGGGTGGACCTAAGTAAGGTGAAATTGTGGGGATGGGGTTGGGTGGGAAGAAGCTGGCAGAGCAGGTTAGCTGGGATCCCCTTCCCTCCAAGCCTCAGCATAGTTAGGATGCAGCAAAATTGCTCCAGCTGCGGTACCCATGGCCTTAATCATCTCCAGAGTGGGGTGGTGCTGCTGAGGCCAAGAAAGAATTCCTCCGGCGGGGGGCTCCTTTAACTAAGCTTTTACAAGAATTGTGCAGTCTGGCCACGGCGGCTTCTTACACTTGCCTAGGCTGGCTTAACTCCTCTTCCTTCCACAGGAGATGTGAGGAGATCCAGCTTCCCCATTAGCTTGGGACCTGCGTCTTATTGACTGTGAACACTCGGGACCCCAGTTCTGGGGCCATCTGTGACCTGTCATGCAGTAATAGCTTAGTTTTCCCCGTGTTCAGCTCCCTCCCCAAGTACTTAGTGTTAAATCACAGGGGGAGGAAGTGTGAGCAGAGGAAAAACAGCACTATTACATGACCCCCGATGAGACCGCTGTGATAGAATTAAAAGCTGCCGCCCTAGGACATTCTAACAGATGACATTGTGAGGTTGCCAAGGTAACCCACTAGGATACAGTCCCAGCATCTTTGGGGTTGAGACTGGGTAGGCAAGGTCAGTTAGAGGTGAGACCCAGCTGCCCAGGGTCTCTCTCATGACTGGCCAATCCATGGCAGCCAAGTGGAAAATCCAGGCAGCTCTCTACAGAACACAAGTGAATCCAACATTTGGCTCCTCATTAAATATTCCAGGTGAAAGAGAATTACAACACTCTGGATTATTGCTGGATGCAGGTTAAAAAGAGCCTTAAAAGATCTGGATGCTATTGGCTCATCCATTCATTCCACACATATTTACTGAACACCTACTATGTGCCAGTAAGCACCAGAATATCAAGAAGATCAAGAGTTCTAGAAGAACCTCAAAAAATGCAGATTCAAACAGGGAAAAAAGTCATTTAAGACATTTGCCCACCATGAATCCTCAGGAAAATACTGAGTGGAAGAAAATGGAAACAATCAGAATAGCACAATAACCTCAAGGACTGGTATCTTTAAAAAAAAGAATAAAAGACAGCACAAAAAAACACAACATTGTGCAAAAGTTTTATAGAATGAAAATGATTTGTTTAAAAGAAATCACCCATCGCTCCTAACCACAACTAGTTTACCCCGCATTCCCGGCGTCACCACCCTCCTTTTTTCTTTATCGTCTTTTAAATGCCTGCCTATCAATGTTAACACCTATCAATGTTATATTCTTTCTCTGGTCTAGGGACCAGCAAAGGATCAGAAAGATTTCAGATAGACCCTGACTTGCAGCAATTCGAGGCCTCAGGCAGACAGAGAACCTGAAAGGCCCTCCCTTTGGCTTCATCAATGGGTGTTTACAACTACTGGTGATGCCGGTGAATACACGTGCCCACACATGGTGTTTGAACCTGGACTTAGGTGATCACCTGGTCTTATTTTCTTTCATGTGGCAAGCTCAAGTGTAGGGGGAAATGGGGGACATTGGGGATAGTGGTGGTGAGTGACCCCAGGAAATGGTGGATGGGGAGTGGGGGAAGGGGGAGCAAAACAGAACCAGAGAGGCTATGGAAAGAGAAAACAAGGAAGAAAATCTCTGAGAAGCTACGGTAACAACACCAGTCCCTGGAAACAAAACAGTCCTTCTTTACCTGCTGGAGGAGTGTTATTAGTACCAGAAGGACCTCATCAAAACATTGCTGGGCCCCTAAATCAGCCCACCACCCTGTGGGCTCCAGTGCTTAACTTTGCTCACACAGGGCCTTCTTTGCCCAATTAGAAAATGGAGATAATTAATTAGATTATCTCACCCTTCTTGTTCCAGCCCCCTTATAATAATGATAGTAGCCACTGGGTGTGGTGGCTCACATCTGTAATCCCAGCACTTTGGGAGGCTGAGGTGGGCGGACCACAAGGTCAGGAGATTGAGACCATCCTGGCTAAACCCCATCTCTACTACAAATACAAAAAAAAAAAAAAAAAAGAAAAAAAAATTAGCCGGGTATGATAGTCCCAGCTACTTGGGAGGCTGAGGCAGGAGAATCACTTGAACCCTGGAAACAGAGGTTGCAGTGAGCTGAGACTGCACCACTGTACTCCAGCCTGGGCGACAGAGCAAGACTCCATCTCAAAAGCTAATAATAATAATAATAATAGCTAAGTTATAGAATGTTTCCTAAACACTTGACATATAATAACCCATGAAGAAGTGCTATGTGACAAATAGGCCCAGAGCAGTTAAGTCGCTTACCCAAAGTCACACAGCCAGTAAGTACTGAAGCCAGAAATCCAACCCTGGCTTCAGTATTTACTGGCTGTGTGACTTTGGAGTTAAGTGATCCTCCTCTTAACCCCTGAGCGCCTACTATGTGCCAGTACTTGGTTTAGTTTTAGGAAGAAAATCTTTTCTAATAGCTCCTTCCACACATGTTCGCTTTAAGGCTAACGCAGTCTGGTTTACTGGTTTCATTCCTTGTATAATTTTCTCCCTAGGTGCCTCAAGTTGCCATGCAAGATGATTCTCCAGATCTCAAACCTCTGGACATGTTAAGTAGGTAGACTAGGAAGTGGCAAGGGAGACAGTGGCATTACCCTTCCCTGAAGCACTAACTCCCAAGAAGTAATTCTGGCAGCACCTGAGATGTCTGGGGACGCTCCCACCTGTAGAATGGGGTCGAGAAACGGTCCTCTCCCAAGTCTGCCCCAACCCCACTCCCAGCCATCAGCACCTTTATGGCAGTCGCCCTTCCAGCATCCCGGCTCAAATCTTGAGGGACCCTAGTCTCCCACGCTCTCTCCTGACAGCACACAACCTTGACTGGGAGGGCTGGGAGGGAGGATCGGTGAGCCTCTGACCCCTGGGTCCTGCGGCTGCCAGGGTCGCTCGCAGCTCGGCCACGTGGAGGTGACCGCGCGGAACTCCGAGGGGCGCAGGGAGAGCTGGGCGGGTCCACCGCTCCAGCGGCTGCTGTCAGGGGCTGCGCGGCTTTCCCTGAAGATGCAGCGCAGCATATTTTGCACATGAGTTCAGAGGAAGAGGAAGTGTAGCCGGCGGACGCGCGGCGGCGGCGGGGGCGCGTCGGGGCTGGAGCCGGAGCGCGCTGGGCGCAGGGCGCAGAGAGCGAGAGCGCAGCGGCCGCGGTCTCCGGGGAGGGACAGACGCACCGATCGCCAGAGGGACAGACGCACTAGCACGCGGCGCCACTGCCCTCCACCCCCCGGCGCCCACGTCCTCCCCCTGCTGCCTCCTCTGTATGGCACAAACTTTCCTCCCGGGACGGATCACGCTGTCTTTGGGAGCCCGCGTCCGTGCCTTCTCCTCCTCCGGTCCCAGACGGTAGGTGGGGACGCAACAGGGCCTGGGGTGTCGACCGGCGCAGGCCCCTCCGTTTGCCCCATGGACCAGGTCCCTGGCGGGTAGTGGGAACCACGCGTGGCGCCTCCCTGCAGGTTGCTCTGTGCCGGGGCTCCCGGACTGCCAGAGCAGCTCCCCAGCCCGGGTCGGATGGAGACCTGGGCTGATCAGTGGGGATGCCTGGATCTCGGGCCAACTTTTTTTTTAGGGTGTGGGGGAGTCATTCCTGGAGTGATGTAGGGAGAGGCACTCCGGAGCAGCCTGTAGGGGGTCTTGGGCTCTGCAGGCTCAGAAGCGCTTAGGAGGGACACGGAGGTGGGGGAGCTTGGAGGCTACAGGTGGGTCCAAGACACACTGCCGCAGGGGTCCTCGGAAAAGAACAGGTGGGAGCTCATCTCAGAGTCCAGGTTTCAGGGGTGAGCGCGGCTGGGGTGGGGCAGGGTGGAGGCGGTGCCTGACTGCCCCTCGGCATGTGCCCTGGGAGGTGGGTTTGCTCTGGGGACAGAAATACTGGACGGGTAGGAGCAGTCAAGCTGCGTGCTCGGAGAAAGTGCCTGAGCCACCAGAGGCACAAGGACGCAGGGCGCGGAGAGTCCTCAGCACTGAAAACGGGGAGCTCCTCTTCTGTAAGGGATTTTTTTCCCCCTTGTCTTAACCCACTTCTCTAGACTCAAGAGATGCCAGCATGGCTGTGGGACTAAGCAAGGAGGAGGTGGTTTTGTATTTCAGGAAGCCCCGTTGTTAGGCACGTGCACCCGGATCCTAGGCCGGGGCTAGTGCCCTTCACCTAGGGTGTCGCTGCCTTTGGCAGCAAGAACCTCGTGGAGGCCAAGGTTGTAGACCCAGGCGGGCTCCCTGCTGTCTCTCCATGCCTCTGTGCTTGCCCTCAGCTGCCCTGTGTGGTTGTGTGTGATCCCGCGGGACGCTGGGTGGTGTCAGTGAGTTTCTTTAGGGGCTAAAAACAAAAAAAGTGTTTTTTTAAAAAAGTCTGGCGTAGTCTCTGAGTGGCCACCCCAGTTTCCAGCAACAGCTCCCTTGTAGTCGGTACAGCTGTTTCAGGGGCTGGGCGCTCAGACTAGACATCTTCCAAGCCCTGCCATCGTGTGTCATCTCAGGATAAGTAAGGCCTTGCCAGGAAGGAAGCTGGCTGTAATGTGAGCGACCTATGGGCCTGTGGGTAGGGCCACTGTGTTCCCCCCTTCTCCCCCGCTGCCGGGATTCCTAATTTGTACCTCTGAACAGCTGAATTCCAACGAAGTTCAAGTGACCCCAGATGCCACCAAACCCCACAGACGGGTTACAAAGCAGGCTGTTTGGGGCTCTTTGGTGCGTGTGCGCTAACCTCAGTGAAATCACTTTAACCTCAGACTGAGCTCTGCATCCTCTTTTGCCTTCAGTGGGGTTTCTGGCCCTGAGGAGAAATTCAAAGCCCCAGAGCTGGGACGTCATCCTCTGGCTGCATTTGTGTATCAAGTCACTAGGTTGGTTTTTCTTTGTTTGCTTTTTGGCTGTATGGGCATGGGGCAAATGGAAGTGGAGTGCTGTGCAGTTAGCTAGTAGATTTGGTACAGGAATTGAAAGATAATAAATTGGGAATACAAGTCAGTGAGTTCTTTTTCTTCCTCTTGAGCAGGAAGTTTTGGCTTATATTCAAATGATTGCTTTGTCTGTAGGGAAACAAGCAGAAAATCTTTGGCGTGAGTGATGTGTGTTCCCATAAAGCTACTTGTGTTCTTCCAGTCTTTGCTTTTCAGCAGAGTTGAAACTATGTTGTCCCGTGGCTTGGTGGGGCATGGGTGCTTTGCCAAATATCTAACTTGGTGGACTAAGGAGTGGACACTGTGACTCTATCCCCATCCCATTCTTTAAGATATGGAAAAGTTGCAAGAACGGTGACCACCTAAGTATACATGCCTAGAATCTAATTCACATTTTGCCATATTTGCTTAACTACACACCTCCCCATTCATCGATCCGGTATCCATTCATAAAACATCCAGCTGATTATTTTATGATTTTAAAGTAAATGACAGATGTTGGTACAGGTCATTCCTGAACATTTTCAGTACATATTTTATAGTTAGACTTCAAAATGTGTTCATGGCTTCCTTAAGGTAAAATTTATATCCATATAGTGAAATGTGCAAATCTAGAGAGTACCATTTGCATAATGTTTTGACAGATGCGTGCACCTGTGTAACCCTAGTCCCTCTCAAGACAGAGAATGTTATTGTCACCCCGGCAAGTGCCTTCATCCTCATTCTCATTCTCTGCCCTCACCCTCTCAGTGGCAGCCACTGCCCTGTATCTCATCATAGGTGAGTCTGGCTTGTTCTTGAGCTTCATTTAAATGGAATTCTACAATATTGTGTAAAGCTTGCCGTGTTTTTAGATTCACTTGTGTCGTATCCATGATTTGATCTTTTTTTTTATTGCCGACTTATGTTCCAGAGTATGTCTACTCCACAGTTTGTATATTCTGTGAATGGACGCAGGGATTATTCGCGTTTCTTTCTTTCTTTCTTTGGCTGTTGTGAACAAAGCTGCTATGAACATTTGTGTACCAGTCTGCCTAGGGACATGCGCTCTCATTTCTCATGGGTAAACACCGAGTAATGAATTGCTAGGTCATAGAGGAGGTATATGGGAACCTGATAAGAAACTGCCAGACCTTTTCTCAACATGGTTATGACATTTTACACTCTCACCAGCAAAGAATACCAAGTTTGAGATTTAGATACTACAACCCTGTCCTCTATCTTCTCAAGAGCATGCTTTGACTAGTGCTCTTCTGGGGCCAGAGGGAAGCAGAGGCAGTGGGGAACATGCTGTTTTCATAGGTGGACGGGCCGTAGGAAGTCCCTGACTCTGCTTGTAAATGGGTTTAAACTGAAATTATTGCAGGAGATCAGATGAATATTTTATTTTTAGATATCTTCAGAGAAGGGAATTCCATAGGGGAATGTACCCTTGGTTGTGAAAGAAGATTGATTGAGTACTTTCTATAAAAAGAAAAATAACCCCAAGCCCCACAGAATTTGACTAAGCTTCTGCCTGGAAACTCCCGGGGGATTTCTGGTATGGTTGATATTAACTTGGTGGAGATTCCCCTTGGACTTCACTGGCTTGGACGGCCAGCTATTGAAAGGGGTTGTGTTTGTTTTGTGGGGCAGGTCAGATTTGGCTTTATGAAGACTCAGAGAATGACTCTCTTGAAAGTCATTTGACCTCTCAATGAGAAACATGGCCTGACAACATCCCTCTTATTGTCCTGGCTGAGAAAATGGGCCTGTGCCCCTCAGGTCCTCTAATACCTTAATTCCTCTCTGTGGTGCCAACAGCCAAACCTTGCCTTGACTGGCCCAGGAAGCGGGAAGTGAACCTATCTGTCTGAATGGGACTCAGGATGAATTTTTGGCATCTCATCAAGGTGTCCCAGGGCTGACCAGGCTTTGCAGGGGTCAGAGGGCAGACAGCTCAGAGTCTTAAGACGTTGCCCTGTGTTTGGGGACCGTTTTCCTCTTTAAAAGCCTAATGCAGTGCCTGACACAGGGTAGGAACACAGTGAACATTGACTGAGTGATTTTGTGACTTGTGATACCCTTCTGGGTGATTGACTCTCTGGAGGTTGGCAGTGGGTGTCAAGATGTCAGCGCCCCAAGATGTATTTTACTAGAGGGCACTTTACAATGGCTTGGAAAACACTTTCAAAGGGTTTGGGCCTAGGAAAATTCTGCTCATTGTAAACTTTCGTTGTATTAACACTGTTCTCTTTATTACAGATTTTAATATTGTTAATAAAATACTAAGAATTATAGCTGCCACCTGCTGATCAGCCCTGGGACACCTTGATGAGATGCAAAAAATTCATCCTGGAGTCCCACTCAGACAGATAGGTTCGCTTCCCGCTTCCTGGGCCAGTCAAGGCAAGGTTTAGCTGTTGGCACCACAGAGAGGAACTAAGGTATTAGAGGACCTGAGGGGCACAGGCCCATTTTCTCAGCCGGGACAATAACAGAGGTGTTGACAGGCCATGTTTCTCATTGAGAGGCCAAATCACTTTGCACGCATTATCTGAATTTAATTCTTATGAGAGGCAAGTACTTACGTTGTCTTCACTTCAGCCTTGAGGAAACTGAAGCTTGTGAGGTTAACTTTCCCTAAGTTCATGTTTTTATTTTTCTAAGACCTTAAGGGAAGAGACTGTGACATTCTGGTGTTTTGAAGGCAAGATCTGTCTACATCATGGATTTCCAAATACACAAAGCCACGGTATAAATAGACATGTAAACTAGATAATCAGAACAAAGTTCCGGGAAATGATACACTGGAATCATTTTCTTTAGATTTTTTTAGTTTGTTAGTTAGTTTGTTTTCATTTTGTCTCAAGCTTACTGAGTTTGGCACAGCCAGGATCTTATACTAACTTTGATGATAATTTAAAATATTACTGGTTGATTAGGATTACAGTTTTATTGAAGGAACAGAAAGACATTGCCAGCTGTTGGGTCTGAGTGTCTGGAGCTGACCTAGTAGCCACTAGTTACATGTGGCTATTTACATTTACATTTAAATGTAGTGAATTAAGATAAAAGAAAATTTAAAAAATAGTCTCACTCGCCACATTTCAAGTGACCCAGAGCCACATGTGGTTAGTGGCTACTGCATTGGTTAGCACAGATAGTATTTTCATCATTGCTGAGAGTTCTGTTTGATAGTTCTGCTCTATGGTAAGTATTTCTTTTTTACCCTTTGGTTTAAGGATCAGTAACATGCTTTACTAGGGCTTGCTATTTTTCACTGACAAAGGGGTAAATTTAGCCAAATGTTGCTTTTATGTTTACCTTTAAAAGGTGTGTGTGTGCATGCCTGTGACCTTCCCTCCCATTCGCATTCAATTTTTGACATACATTTAGTCTCCCTTTTCTCCTGGGCCCCAAAGGGGCTTTCATTATTAGCAATGCATATTTTATCAAGATACT